AGTATATTTCTCATTGTCGCCCAGCGAAATTAACCGAAGCACGTTTTATTCAATGGCTTTTCGCAAACTTTCCAACCGTCATTCTTCTCTCTACTCGCGCGATTTCTCTCGGGCTGGTACATCGAGATTAACAGCATGGTTCAATTTTTCACGCTGCACCAACGCCAATACGCATCGCAGGATTTTCTCTTAACTTCATTTTCGGCCAATCTCGCGAGTTTGAGTCGCGAGGCGAACCGATCGATCGATCTCCGGGAAAATATCAAACGGGGGCTCCGTTCTCTGCTTCTCTCGCTGTGTGAAACATGGATTGGCGGGGCTTTGGTAAATAACGTTGTTGCAGTTTCGCGATGACAGGGAAGTATGGCACTTCATATTCCCCGCGCGGGAAGGAAAGAAAGGTAGCGATTTTTTCTCGTCGACGTGTTAGCCTACGATCGGAACAGTAGCAACCGATCGACAGTAGAACTGTTGAAACGCGCCAATGGTATAGTTGGCGGAAGCGATGCGGCGAGGTCGTGAATTGAAGAAATTAAGGGACGACGAAAGATTGGGAGTCGTTTGTCAGTTTTGAATTGATTTATGAAATTTCTGCTCAGAATCTTTCCTTTAATGGCTCGAGTGTTAATTCTACGTCGAAAAGTGGGCCACGAAGTGCAAATTCGATTCTATTTTTTTTTTTTTGTAAAAAATTGAACAATTGATCGAACAAAAATTTTCTCTTTTTCTTGTCTTTCATTTTCTCTTTGCAACGATAGACAGAAAAATAGTCGAGAAGCTTCGTTTGCATTCCAAGTATCGTATAGTTTCGATTGTTGCGAATTGTTGATACGAATTGGTGTCTAAAATTTTTTCTTAGAATCTTTCCTTTAGGAGCAAAATGTTTAGCATCGGGCCACGAAGTGCAAATTCGATTTTATATTTTTTTGTAGAAAATTGAACAATTGATCGAACAAAGATTTTCTCTTTTCAACGATAGACAGAAAAGTAGTCGAGAAGCTTCGTTTGCATTCCAAGTATCGTATAGTTTCGATTGTTGCGAATTGTTGATAAAAATAGATTTATAAAATTTCTGCTTAGAATCTTTCCTTTAATCGTTTCAGTGTTAATTCTATATCGAAAAGTGGGCCACGAAATTCTATTTTATTTTCTTATAAAAAATTGAACAGAAACTGTGCTTATAATCAATTCTGCCTTCGTTTCTTGTTATTTTCAATCAAATTCTATTCTATCATTTTTTGCAATCTGTCTATTTGCTTATAAAAAATTGAACAGAAGCCCTTCACATAATCAATTTTGTCATTGTCTCGTGCTATTTCCAAACAAATTCTGTTCTATTATTTTTGCAATCTGTCTACTTTTTATCAAACATTGAACAGAAGCCCTGCGCCTAATCAATTTTGCCATTGTCTCGTGTTATTTCCAGCCATATTCAGAAAAATGCCGAAAACGGAATTTTTTCGAATTTTTCCACATCAAACGAAAGAACCGCGATGGTATTTTTCGGTCAGATTTCTCCAATAACAATTTCGAAGCTAAATATCTTCAAAATTCAAACATCAAAATTACAATTTCGACGAATAAAAATTTTCTAGCGCAGTGCTGTTGGCACAACTTCACCGTAATTTAATCCTTCGTTTTTCATCTTTACGCGCTTCCACATTAATTTAATATAAAACAGATTTTACAACGATGCAGCCGAAACGAAAAATTTAGCAATTGCACCGTCGCGACGCACCCTGTTCATTAAAATTTGCCACAGCGAAAGGGTTAAACCTCCCTCGCCACCTAATCAACGGTAATTCCCGCGTTGGTGAAAATTCACCAGCGGCTGCAAACGATTTTTCAAAAGTCAATTTTTAAATTACATCCATTTCAAAACCTAACCAATTTTACGACCTCGTCACATCGCTTCGGTCGACTATACGATATACCGCTGCTAAGTTCGAAGAGCAAGTAGGTATACAGTGTAAATACGAAAATATGATCCCGCCTCTAAGAAACTTTTTGCTGCCCCTTTTTGTTTCTCAACTCCGCCCCCAAGTTTGAACAGAACGTTCGTATTACTGTACACACGTATTTATAGCATTTCTCTGTTGCCCCCGATCTGAAATTGTAGATAATACGAAATGCTGGGTTTTTTTTTTCTGTCACCTCCTTTTCCAAACGCTTTTTTTACTTCCACACTGTTTTTTTCTCTTCTCTTTTTTCTTGTTTTTTAACTCTCACGAAGGTGGACCGTCTCGAGGCCGAAGGAGAGACCGGAAGTGCCATGCTGTGAAAATTCTCCGGGCCCAGTTTGCCCCCTTTTTTTCGTCCGTTTGTTACTCGTTTCACCCCCACCAACCCCTCGTGATGTTTTCGTCTGTGACCAAAGTTGCCCCCGTGTAAATTAGCCACACCCTCTCGTTCGTTTACTCGTCTGTGATTGTACCATAGAAAGAGACGATACGGACTATCTCTCTCGTTCTATTCCCCCCCTTCCGCCGTTGTCCCGTTGTAAGAGACGTGAAAGCGAAACACGTACACGCGTCTACGATGCCTGAAAATGGGAACGAGCGAAAGTGATTTTGCACCGATTCGCACGCACCACCGTCTGTCAGTGTCCTCTTGTCATGGTGTTCAATTGGGCCTGTAAATAGCGGATCCTTTCTGACGGGAGTCTGTTCCTCCTCTGAGAGAGTATACACCTTTTCTTCATCGATCCTTCGCTAGAATCGTCCGTGTTATTCAAATTCAACGACTCGTACGCGTCTCAGGTATGCGAACACTTTTGCCACACCTGAGATAACGAGACACGCTTAATTCGAAGAGAGAAGTGTTTAAAAAGAAAAGTACGAGTCGATTGTTAGAGCGAAGAATTAGAGGGATCCTTGAAGCACTGAGAGGAACAGAATTCCATCGGTTCAGAAAAGGGATTGTAGTGGACTTTTTACTCTTTTTTTGTTCTCTTCACCCTCTGTGGACAAAGAGCTGATCGTGACCAGCTCTCCCCCTGATTGGCCAGAATGAAATTCACATCCTATCATCGCTGATCCCTTCTTCTCTCTTAATCCCGTCTCTTCTTCCCCTTTCTTTGTCTTCTCTCTCTCTCTCTCTCACCCTCTGTGTAATTCGTCAGCCCTTCTCTCTCTCTCTCTCTCTCTCTCTCTCTCGTCGACCAGAGCTGTCTTTCCTCAAGCTCTCGTCCGACACACAGTCGTCGTGAAGGCGAACAGCGGAACGAGCAAAGGAAGGAGACTTGTCGCCTGGAGAAAGACAGAGAGAGGGAGGAGAGAATCCGACAAGTGGCTTCCACAGGAAGTTTCACCCCCGAACGAAGCAATTCAAAGACACTAGAAAATCAATTTGCTTGAAAGATCGTTGGAAAAAGCGGGGAAAGATTTCGTAAGGGGAAAAGCCATCATGGTGAGACTTATTCTACACCTGTGTAGATTGAAACGATCGACTGGGAGCAGAATAGACATTTTTCCCTTTTTTCACATCAACTTTTGCGTTACTTCGTTTCTACGTATCGAACAGACAACGCCGTTGACGTTATTTCAGAAACCGACCTCTAAGTGGAGATGAAACTTGTCACATTGTGCGAAATGTTCTTACACGTTTAACCCCTTAACCTAAAAAGACACAATTAGATGTATTAGTAGGAAAAATTTATTGTAATCCTAACTTTCGTCTCAGTTTCTAAAACTGAGGATTACCAAACGTAATTAATTTGTAACAGATTAACTTTTATTCCATGATACGGCATTAAAACAAAATGGCCGACGCTTAGATGCTCAGTCAGAAAGGAAATCATAGATTAAGGGGTTAATCACAATTTTGTCCTGGCTACTTTTACGATCAACATTTGATCAAATTTTGCCGGTTTTCCCCCGAACAAACAGCTACCAATGCTCTTTTGTGTTTCAAAGTGGCCCCAAAAACGAAGAAATGAAGAACGTGGCTTTATAACTGTCGCATCGAAAACAATGTGTTAACGCAACGAGCATTAACGAACTTTTTGCCATTTCTCTCTTTTTGCTCAGTCCTTGTCTGTCCGTTGAGGGACGTCGAGGAGGCTGTTACGTGTACAAGTTTGATCTAGTCGCTAGTCCGTTTTAAATTTCTCTTTTTTTCTTTCCCTCTGTCTGTCTATTTGTGCATCGATGTATACATGTTCTCTCCAAACGCACAGCCTTTCCTATCGATTCGTCGAAGTATACAGTACACACGGTACATATTTTCCCCGAAAATCGATTCCACAATCTCCCCGATCACCTGGCATTGCAGTTAATCAGCAAGCCAATTTTACTGTCAATCTCGAATCGTCGAGTGACACGCTAACCGAAACATATCTCTCTATCCGTTCGCCGATCCGTGTGAAACCTACTCCTACCTGCTTTTGCCACGCAGGTCGCATGCTAAATTTCTGCTCCGAGTATTGTATGTACATTATCATACCGTGTTCTCGTTCTTTTGTCCGTCTAACACCTTACGATTGCTGCTCGACTTTCATATTTTCTATCAACGATTTACCTCGTGCTCGAATCTTCGTGTCCATACGCTTTCTTTGGTTTTTCCTTTTTTTACTGTCTGTGCAAGAAATATTACGTGTGCGTTCGCCTGCATTGTGAATGTTGTTGTTGTTGTTGTTGTTGCGTGTTCACTGTGATTAAAAGAAACACTCGACGCTTCTTTTCTTAGTGTAATTACTGTCCAACGGGACCAATGTCCCGCCGAGTTGTCCCGTTTCGGGAGTATCTTTTGTGGAACGGTGTTTCTTGGGAAATAACGACTGTTAAGTGGAATATCGAGAGGTTTGATGCGTTTGTTTTCGTTGGTGGATTCAGAAGAGTATTTTAGGGGGATTTAGAGAAAGTTTCCTGAGAAGATCGTTTCACTGGATCTCTCTTTAGTGTTTCGCGGTGAAAATTCATTCGATGGAATATTACGCATGATTACAGTAGATTGTAAGAATTGCGCTGATGTGATACTAATGCAATTTTTCGTGGCTGCAGATCGCGGACTTGAACAGCCAAGTGAACGACCTCCGAGGTAAATTGTAAGTAGCCAGTTTTTTACTACGAGGGAATGTAGCGAAGTGGTAATCATCGATATTGGTGAAACTTTGGTATGTGGTATTACTGAAAATGAATCTTTTATCTGCAATCGTTCAGGTTGGAGGGGTGAAAATCGCCGTCAAACTTTTATTTTTCAAATTTGTGAAGTTGGAAGATACAAAATTCGTCAACTTACTCTATTCCTCGATTTTTAATAGTTTTAGGGATATTAGAAAATCGAAGTCAACGATAGGGGTGATAAACATATTTATTTAAAATTTTGTTTAAATTTTATTTTTCAAATTTGCAAAGTTTAAAAATTCAAATTCGTCAATTTACACCATCTCATAATTTCTAATATTTTTCGAGACATCAGAAAATCGCCGTCAAAGGATAAGGGTAGTAAATATATTTATTTTAAGTTTTTTCTTTATTACGTTTTATTTTTCAAATTTTCAAACTTGAAAGATACAAAATTTGTCAACTTACTGTATTCCTCGATTTCTAATATTTTTCGAGATATTAGAAAATCGCAGTCAACGATAGGGGTGATAAACATTTATTTAAAATTTTGTTTAAATTTTATTTTTCAAATTTGCAAAGTTTAAAAATTCAAATTCGTCAATTTACACCATCTCATAATTTCTAATATTTTTCGAGACATCAGAAAATCGCCGTCAAAGGATAAGGGTAGTAAATATATTTATTTCAAGTTTTTTCTTTATTATGTAATATTTTTCAAATTTTAAACTTGAAAAATACAAAGTTCGTCAATTTACACTATTCCTCTATTTCTAGTAATTATCGAGACATTAGAAAATCGCCGTCAAGGATAGAGGCAGTAAATATATTTGTCTTAGTGTTTTATTTTTCAAATTTGCAAAGTTGCAAAATTCAAAATTCCTCAACTTACACCATTCCTCGATCTCTAATAATTTTCGAGATATTAAACTTGCAACGTTACTTCCATCGGTGACAACGAATCTCGAGGATTTATAGATCACAAGAAAACAACGCGACAACGCAAAATACAAGAGTAGACTCTCAAAACCAAATCGTGTTCGCAAAAACAGTGAACTTAGTTACTGAACCAAGTAAAGCAAACAAGAAAATCGGTTCAAAATAGACTGAAAGTGCCCAAATTGTTAATCTAACCTACATCACACACACTACAAACAATCCAATTTGGAAACCAATTTCCACCCCTCCACTAAGCCCAATTTCCATCACAAAAAACTACTTACCAAATCTCTTCTCAAAAACTGCCATACACCAAAGTTTCACCAAAGTCCATCTCATTGTTTTTCCTCCCATCGACCCCACATCCTTCGAAGAAACTTCCCATTCTGGTTTAATAACAACCGTTAATCTTATTAGCATGAAACCCACGCTGAAGAAAGTCTCCAAGTACGAGAACAAGTTCGCCAAGCTTCAGAAGAAGGCGGCCGAATTCAACTTCCGCAACCAGCTTAAACAGGTTAAGAAGAAGGAGTTCACCCTCGAGGAAGAGGACAAGGAGGTAAGGAGGATCGTTTTCGATAATAAACAATCGATGGTCTAATTTTTTTTTTTCACGTAGACATTCGTCCCCCTCCCGTCGATCGGCCATTTTTCTCCGACTGTTTTTCCGCCCGGCTCGCGTTCATTCGGGAGAAAACTGGTGGAAATACAAGATTCGAAAGTTTTTCCATTCAGAAAAATTCCACGTTAATACGATCGTACGATACAACAGGCAATTGTTATCGATTTGACTTGCATTTCTATAGAACTGTCATCGCGGTACGAAAAAATGTTTCCTACGTTTTTCCACCTTTTTTCTCCGCTCGAACGCTTTTCAATTTTTCCCATTTTTTCTCGCCGCCATACGACGGGTGGGACTGTATTCACGTTTTTTTTCCAGCCATTGAGAAAGACAGTTTTTGTGGCTCTGGTTTTCTTTACGTGTAATAAAACCCAATTGGCAGGTTTTTTTCCTTGTATCAGTAGCATTTTGTTCACTTATTCGAACGTCCTCTCACGGAGATCAATCGACGTTTTTTTCCGAGCACACACTTTCCAAAATTATCTTTTTCCAATTTTTCCATCTAGTTTGCTACGTACAATTTTTTCACGCTCACATCCTCCGGTTGATCTCCCGCCAGAGGGACCGCAATTTTTTTCGTCCTTTTTTCGTATATGTAAATACCCCAGTAGTAGCGATAGTTTGACTAGGCAATTGTGTTGTTCTCCACAGCCCAAGAAGTCCGAGAAGGCAGAGTGGCAGACGAAGAAGTAGATTTAAAAAAACACATAAAACAAAACATTTAAACAACAGCAAAAAAAAAAAAGCAAAACAAGTCACACGCGTATACAGGCAAAGAAGGAAAAAAGAAAATTATATATACATATATATACGACAAATAATAATGCGATATTTTCGAGAAAAAAAAGAAAAACAAGAGCTTTGAACGTGCAATTGTCCGCGTGATCGCGAGTTTAAAGAGAATTTCAATCGAAAAAGAAATTATACGCATCGAACGGAGGAAATTTTGTTTTCGTTAGCTCTCTCCCATGATACTACATCGTTCTCACGTTGATTACATACGTGGCCTGTTTTACCACGTTCCCTCGAATCGTTTTCAGCGAAAACACTCGTCCATGTTCCTTTGAAATGTTTTTCGTCGATTTTACCGTACCTAATCGTCTCGCGCGAGGAACGAGAGCAAATAGTTGTGGCTCGTACACGAGTTGTTTCGTTAGGTTGCAAGCCAGGAAAGGGTTTCTTCCTCGACTTCGGTGTGGCAACCACCGGCGGCGAATCAGATCGCGTATTTTTCACGGTCGAAACGCGAGAATCGAAGTATAAAGGAAAGAAAAAAATATACCAAAGAAATATTGTGTCACAATAAACGATCGAAGAAAGTGCATGTTTAAAAAAAAAAAGAAGAACAATTCTCTCTCTTTCGAGGAACATCTCTTACAATCTTCCAAATCCTCCTCTGTCTTTTGTTTATTTTTCTCACGGCAGATCTCGTCAATTTTCTCGAGGCTTTCTTTTATTCCCGTCCGCGCTACAAGTAGAACAGATACGCGCTGTTTTCGTACATTTTTTATCACACACTTTTTATCCGGCATCGCGGAACGATACTCGGCGTGAGAAACTCGATCGAATACGAAAATCCTGTCGATGATGTTATAAAGGAGAGGAGGGAGACGATTCACCGCGAGATATTCGATAAGAATGGGTCGAGTGTTATCGAGGATCGTTCCGTTCTGCTCCACTAATTTTTTTTTCTCTACAGCTCCGCTGATCTCTTTTCCATTTTTTCGTTTCACCCGTCTCGATATCGTTCCCCGAACGATACCGGAGTTTTATCGACCACGATCGTACCTAATTTTGCTTTTTAACGCGTCTTACTTTTTCTCTCTCTCTCTCTCTCTCTCTGTCTGTCTATCTATCTCTCTTCTCTTCTCCTTTTTCTCTATCGCGTAATAAACAGCCGAACGCGCGGTATTTAAAGGAAAGGAAAAAAGGAGGAACGAGTAAAACGAAGCGATAAAAAAAAAAAAGAAAAGATATGTTATATAAAAAAAAGAAAAGAAAAGGTGAGAATGGCTTACAAAGTATATTTAAGACTCACAAGACTTTCTTCCTCGTTTCGTACGTAATCGCAGAAGCGCTTCACTCACAAGTGCCTTTTCTCTATCTCTGTCTCTCTTTCTCTATCTCTGTCGCTATCTACTTCTTCTCTTTCCATCATTCTCTCTCTAATTACTCATTCATCGACTGCGCTCATTTCGTCTCTCTTCTTGTTTCAACTCGTTGATCGCGCGCAGGCCCGTTCATGCAAAGTGAAAAAAGAACAGAACACCCTCGCCCGTAGGGAACTTCGCGTGCTGCGCAAGAAAGCAAAGATTAATAGCCGAAAGATTGTGCTTTTGAAGAAAAGAAAAAGAACGCCAGCTGTCACTTTCGATCGAACCCTTTCTTCAAAGATACGCACATAAGCTCTGTTGCAGCTTGCCTTTGCCGCCATCGTTCGGCTGCCATGCTTCCAGGCTGTACATGTGTAGGATTGTTGTCCCGTCTGAATTCTTTTTTTTCTTCATTTCGCAATCGTGCATCGATCATCCTTCCTTCCGGAGAGAACTCCGCGCTAGTACACGTTTCACGTCGATTAATTCTCAAACGACGCGTTCTATCGTGATCGATGCACGGTTCAATTATGCCATCGTCGTCGAGCGTGATTCGTAGATCTGTCCGGGGTACGCGCCGGCGATGGAAAAGGAGAACGCGCGATAGATCGAACGAATCACGGCCGACACCGTTAATCGTTAAGTTATTAATTAGTATGTACGCTCTAATAATTGTCCATGTCTTATCTGTTGACTAATGATGTTGCTCTTGCATTATGTTCGCAGAACGCGTCAAAAGATAAGGTAAAGCTTTAAACGATCAACTCGTAGATCGGCATGCTTCTTTTAGGGGAGAGTGTGCGTGTATTAGTCCAGTTACTATAGCTTACAGGGATGGTGTGAACGAACGAAGCAAAGAAAAATCATATAGGATAGACGATAGACGAAAAAAAAAAAAACAAGCTTAATCTCCTTAACGATTACTGTACTCGATCGCACCGTTACTATCGGCGATTTTTTTTTTTCAATATTTTCTTTCCACCACCGACAATTTTTCCGTCAATTTTTTCCCGTTTTTCTCTTCATTCGAGCCTCGGCTCGAGCGAACCACCACGTTCTCGTATAGGATACAATCTTTCCATTTTCTTTTAAATTTTTTTCTTCTCCGGAAGACTCTTCTCTCGCCTCCTTTCTCACTAACAATCTGCACGGCTTTCTGGATGACGACGATATGCGTAAAAGTGAGAGAAGGTCGACGCCAGCCGTCGCGAGATCGACGGAAGTATGAAATTGGCGATGCTTGCTAAACAATCGAGAGACTTGAAAATTCCGACGGATTTTTCCCGCCAGATTTCCTCGTACACGCGTGCACGACACAGGACGAGAACGAATATTTTCGTGGACCGAGGATTTTTGAAACGCGTGACGATTTTCGCGTTCAGAGGAGTTGCCTGAGAAAATAGAGAAAAGTGTTACCCTGCTTTTTGCGAAAGTTGCCCCCCTTTACGCTAACCCGGACCTTGGCGTGTGCGAATTTTTGGCCGAGTTGTCGCCGCGGAGGTTCGTCTGTCGCTCACGTATGTTCTCTGAACTTTTGCAGAAGAAACCCGACTGGTCGAAGAAGGGCGAGGAAAAGAAGGTAAAGGAAGAGGAGGTGGAAGCATGAGGGAGATTTCACCATTCACTCTCGAGAAACGGAGTCGTCTGTCCATCCATCCATCCGTTTAACAATCTTCGACGCAACGAAAACTTCCTCATTTATTATTTCTTTCATTTTTTTTCTCTCTCTCTACCTGTCTGCCATCGTCTCGAATATTAACTCCGATACTAAGAGAAGAAAGTCCCGAAATGCACGCAGAAATCACCGTTGCCTATTTGTATGTTTCTGTCTCAACGATGACTCCTCGATCAGTTTAATCGAGAATTCACCGAACATATGTCTTTCGTGTCCGAGTTCTAATCCAGAGTTCAGAATTTTGTGACTGACCAGCTCACTGTCTTTTCACACTTTTCTTCTACTTTTTGTCTCTTTAGTTTCTTTTTTTTTTCTCTCTCTCTCTCTCTCTCGTCTACCACGAGACACCGTATGTGTATATATATATCTATTTTTTTAAAAACGAGACACAAAACCCTGTGACCATTCACGTGCTCATCTGTCGATGAGATTTTTTTTTTTTTTACACTTCAATCCTGTTATTTGTACATGTAACTCTCTGTGAACCGGATAAAAGGGAGAAATGAAACATAATGGAATAGCGAGAAAAAGGGAAATCGTTACTTAAGGTTTATTGTAAATCAACACAGAAAAAGAACAAAAAAAGCAAAAAAAGAATATTTAACGACAATGAAATGCACATCTATCTGTGGGTTCATTCTCCTGTACCTGTATCCTCGTTCGTCCTATGTGATATTTTGTGTTCTGTGTCTTTGGAGTATATTGACGTCGATTATTAACCCTTTCGTTGCAATCGTCTCTGTCGGGAAATGATTTTGTCTCTTTATATATCGAATAATCTAATTTAATCCCTTGACTTGTAACAAGTCAGACACTTTGCACAGATTCCACTTAATATGCGACAAGAACAGCTGTATTAGCAACAGAAATCAATTTCAATTCCGACTTTCTGTTTGTTTTCGATGACTGAGGATTATTAGCTTCTCTTATCTAAAATAGTATACAACTTGGATGCACAGTCGGTGAAAAAATCATAAGTCGAGGGATGCGATATGGTGTATAGAACACACTGTACTGAGTAAAACAGCCTTCGTAAACATAGGTCGAAAGGTGAACCGTTTCTGGGATATGAACATTTTTGTTTGCTAGCGTCATGATTGACTTGCGGAAGATTCTCCATTTGTATGCACGCTTGGCATCTTCTTCTTACAGAGTCGCGAACTCTCTCGAAAGTTTCACATCTCTGTCGAATTATTTGACAAGCATGGTGGATTCGGTTACGTAATTCTTCTGAGTCATTTATCGGCGAGGAATACACTTGGCTTTAAAGAAGTCCAAAGGGTTCAATTCGGGGGATCGAGGGGGATCGAAGTCAATCGTGATGCTAGCGAACAAAAATGTTTATATCACAGAAAGACCTATGTTTACTAAGGCTTTTTCACTCAGAACAGTGTGTTCTATATACCATATAAATATTGAATGGTTTTCTTTGAACACCCTGTACACGCATAAACAAAATAATTCTGTTCACAGAAATACGGTTAATCGCGTTAAAATCATTCGCGAAATTTTCAAATACGATCCCTTAACACGTTGAGCGTGGAGCCGATTTCGCGGCACACAGCGGCGATCACTTCGCGAGCTGTTCGGTTATAGAGTATAAAGAGAAGATAACAAATGCGCTCACACGGCATTCGGACGAAGAAATACCAATCCGGGTTGATAGAAGTAGGGTTCATGAATTGCAAAAAGAAAGAAGGAGACGTGCATAAGATTTATTTTTTAAACACGATACTGCCGGTCCCACGAACCGACCCAAACGAAAAGTTCACTGTCAGTCACCACGGACCGACGCCGCCTAAACGGAAAGTTCACTGTCAGTCACCACGGACTGACGCCGCGCTTAACGTGTTAACTTATAACGAGTCAGACACTTGGTACAGATTCTACAGAAACAGTTATATATCGCTAACAAAAATCAATTTTAACACTCTGCAATCGAGTGGCGACTGAGAAGAGACGTTAAGTAATTGTCACTTGGTAAATAATTAATTAAGACAGGGAGCAGATCTACGGGCCTCCGTAAATTTCTCCATCATAGTGAAATAGAGAATACGTTGAATATTAAACTAAAGTAGTGCAGTTTATTTCTACGTTGAAGGGTTAACTTCAACTTTCACAAGAAAGGGTTACTTCTAACTTTCTCTTTAATTTGTAAGACTGAGGATTATCAAATGTGATTAGTCTGTCACACGTTCACTTTTCTCGCCTAATGCCGCGCTAAAATAGTAAACAGCTGGCTCTTAGATGAATGTCGGTAAAAAGAATCACAAGTCAAGGGATCAACATATGAACATAAAGAAAATCATTCTGTTTCTAAAATTTCGATCGATATTATAGCGAAGATTTTCATTCAATATCTGCAGTATTAAAGTACGTTCACCGTATGTCACGGCTATAGCTGCAACGATAGCAGCGAAACGGTTAAAAAGTCCCGAACGGAATCGACGTTAAAATATCCGATGTTAATGTTAAAATCGACGTGTTCGATTTGATTGAACGTTTTTCACGAATCGTAATTGGACCGGTGCCGGTGTCGAAACGATCGTTTCAATATCGTTGTTAATTCCGCAAACGGCTCAATTACAACCTGATTACCAGTCTTCGCGCAAGAAACGAAACTTTTACCGCACTCGAGCCTGTACTTGAAGTCTGTAAACCCGTCGAACGTTCAACGAGGCGTGTCGAATGGTAGAGTACAAGCGAACCGTGTACATTCTACCGGCAAATTTTACACCACGTCTTATAAATATCGACGCGGCTTTCGGTAACTTTTACATTAACCCTTTCGTGACCGAAGTTTGTTTGTTTTTTTCTTAAGGGTTTCTGATCGATCGCTCGCGTCTCTGAGAAATACTAAATCGAGACCGATTTTTCGAGTCTGGATCGTGGATTTTTATGCATTTGTGGGAAATTTAAAGGTGCAACATTGCACAGAATGTACTTAATATGACAGAAATGTATTTTTATTTATTTATTTATTTATGTAGGTCAAGTCTGAAGGAGGATTGGGATCTGAAAAAGTGAACCAATTCACAAGATTTATTCGCTTCATAATTACGCGATTAATGAAATTAAGGGGGTCTTCTAGAGTGACGGCAGCTTTTTTAGGCCTTCTTTGCTAATTTATTACAGAAGTACGGTAACGGTTATTAACATGAGCTTTATTCCTGTGCATTCACTTGTCCTTGAAGAATCGTTACAAATTTTTGTTGTTGAAAAATAATTAAATATGGCTGCTGTGGAACACGTCAAACAGGAGCATGAAAAAAAAAAATAGGTCCATGTTTGCCATGATTTGAGCTGTTCTGCTTATCAGAAGTAAAAAAATCCAATTGGTTCTTATTTAGTATGCATGTCGCTATGGTTGGTAGTAGAATAAAAGAAAAATATTGAAAATTAGAAAAATGGCAGCACTTTGAATACGAAGTATCGATTTCTTCGACTTTTTTCCGTCTTTCAGAGGCTCTAAAAATCAGAAGAATATATATTTTGGCATAATTCTACTACCGACCATAGCCACACATGTTCCGAAGACATGTGCAAAATTTGAGTTCGATTGGTTCGGTAGTTTTTGCCAGATCGTGGCAACCATTTCAGAAGACATGGTTCCGAGGAAAACGCGATTAAAGTTTTCAGTGCAATTTACATTCTCCCTTGATGTGTCACACTAAACGAGCTACAACTTCGTTATTTCATCGAATACAACTATAAAACATCAGGAGTACATTCTTAAAGAGTTGTACTTTCGATATATGCAAAAAAATAAAAATCGATTTTTTGAAACTCTCACACTAGAAGACCCCCTTAAATTGGCCATAAATCGCGTTATATATTTATTTATTAATTTATATAACGCACTCTGCCTGCATACTAAATAAAGTCTGAAGGAGAATTGGGATCTGAAAAAGTGAACAAATTCACAAGATTTCTTCGCTTCATAATTACGCGATCAATGCAATTAAGTTGGCCATAAATCATGCAGTGTGCCTCTCGAGACAAAATATCCAAATTATAGCGCTTTTTGTAGGTAGTAAGTGAAACAACTTTCTACCCAAGTTTCACATTTTCTACTCAATCATCAAAAATCGAAATTTGCCCAAAAATCCGCAGCCTAAGTACGACACATGGTGAGATAATTCTCTACCCAAGTTTCACTTTTTCTACTCAATCTTCAAAAATCGAAATTTGCCCAAAAATACGCAGTCTAAGTACGACACATGGTGAGATAATTCTCTACCCAAGTTTCACTTTTTCTACTCAATCCTGAAAAATCGAAATTTGCCCAAAAATCCGCAGTCTAAGTACCACGTACACGTCTGCTCGCGAAAGGGTTAAATCTCACTTCATTCGCACACTAACGCTCATCGATCACTTTCAGTCTCGAATCTCCAGCGAATCTCTTCCTTTACACGATTTTCCAAAAACGACCGCGAAACAATTGAATTTTCAGCGGTGAAAACAAACACACGGTAGGTGGGTTCGATATTAACGAGATCGCGCTTGATCACGATTCGCTACAAACGCTTGTGTGAAGCTTCTGCCTACGAATTTCCTCGCTGTTTACGTTTCAGAGCGGCACATTTGTATCTCTCCGTTGGAATGTTGCCCGGCGCGAAAAATAATTCCCTCTTTCAACGAAATTCGTCCGGGTGTAATTTTTCATTTACGCGTACCTTCCACGCTGCGTTATATACACGTCGAGGCGAGAGACGCGAAACGGTACGAAACGACGGGCTCAACTCTCGCCTCTCACACGCGTTGAAATTACCTAAGCGAGTTTATCATCGCAACGCCATTGTTTAATTATCCTGACAATATTCGCTATCGCGAATGACCGTTGATTTACGCTATCGAACGCGTCCACTGGCGTAAAGAGGGGAGCAGAGAGAGAAGGACGGGGGTGAATCACGTCGCACGTCGCAATCTCTCGAACGTTACATAAAGCATTATTATCGTGCGCCGGGACAAATGATGTATCTATAAATGACGGTTTAATGCGACTACATTTGCGAAATGTGCACGGTGACCGTAAATCACGCGATTTAATGCGTGTGTGTCGTCGACGTGCCACGCGGCTTGCAAATGTAATTTTATCCCGACCGCTCAATCTCTCTCTCTCTCTCTCTCTCTATGTCGAGTCAGAGCCGGTGAATTAAACAGGAACGAAAGATAAACAGTAGTTACGCTTTTTCGCTCAATTTTCCGATGTTTAAATCGCGTGCATTTCAAATGTGCCCTCACGCGAACAGCTTCCGTTCGCATCGAAAAACGCGAGCAGCGTCCCGTGAAAGTACGGGATATGCACGTACATACGTTTGCGACATGAATTCTTCTGTTGGGAATGGTAGTTAGGTTGAATTGTTTTTTTACAAAGGAGGAACCAGCTCCGGAACCAACACCGGAACCTGAACCACCAGCACCATCGCCACAGCCAGAACCAACGCCACCAGCACCTCCAGTAGCTGCTCCAACGCCATCGCCAGAACCACCAGCACCGGCACCCCCAGCCGAGGCTGCTCCACCAGCTGCAGCACCGCCTGCCGAAGGTGCTCCACCTGCGGAAGGAGCACCGGCACCTCCTGCGGAGGGTGCTGCACCCCCAGCTGGTTAGTGCATCGATTTAGAACGTTTTCGTGGGCGTGGAGATTTAATCGTTACGTTTCGAGATGTAGAAGTAGGTGTTGAATTTTGGTATTGTATTTTAGTGTTTTTGAGGGGGGGAGGAGGTGATGTGAAGGCAGGTTTGGAAATTCTTCTCTTTCGAGATATGCGCAGTTTTTGAGAATGAAGGATGCTTAACGCTTGGCGGTCGAATTCAGAGATAAACGCTCTGTGGAACGTTTGCCTGCAGAAACTTTTGGGCAATAATTGACTGAGTGCGCGTTACCAAATGATAATTTTGATCAGTATGGCTCTCGTGCCTACGGAAAATTTAAAGTTTATTTGAAGAAATTTATGGAAATGATTTCTTTCTGCAATAGTAGGTTTAGTATTATTAGGTCAGCCCATAGGTTTGCGCCGAAAGCGAAGAATACTTGAATGAAAATCCAAGGAAATTTTACGGAGATGACATAAAGGTCTTACCAAAAAAATAAGAAAAACTTGAGAAATGAGAAGACGCTTATGTTTTTCTTTATCAAATTTAAGAGTTCGTTGGAAATATAAATTTCCATTATAAAATTCGACACGAACTTATGGGATGACCTAACATTATCACAAACTAAGCTCTCATGATGTCGCCATAAATAAAAATCGAAAGGAGTTAAGAGTACGGACCACGCAAATTTCTATATGAAAAAGGTGTTTATTTCTCAAAAAATAAGAGTTTCCAGGCCTGCATCTATAAATCCTTACTTCGTCCTTGAGTTGAATACCGTAGTACGATGCCAATTTTCGACTCCCTATTTCAGCGTCACCCACTTTATCACACCAATAATTCTCATCGATATCACGTACACATACCACATTCGATAATCTTCATACGTTCACGTCTTTCGCAACAAACCGGAGCAACACGCTCCACCGACAAGAAGGGGAAAACCACTCTACAAGACAATACGCTGTTTGTCACAGTTGTTCACGTGTTAGATTAGAGTAGAGTTCGTAACGTACGGTGCATGTACTTGTTCAGAAGGTGCACCGGCAGCTGCACCTGCGGAAGGCGCGGCACCGCCAGCGGAAGGCGAAGCACCAGCTGCTGCTCCTCCTGCGGACGGATCAGCTCCACCACCAGCGGAAGGCGCGCCAGCCGCACCTCCCGCCGAAGGTGCACCTCCCGCCGAAGGTGCACCACCCGCTGAAGGTGCACCACCCGCTGAGGGTGCACCAGCGGCACCTCCTGCGGAAGGAGCACCTCCTGCGGAAGGTGCGCCGCCTGCGGAAGGCGCGCCAGCGCCACCACCAGCAGAAGGTGATCAATTTGTACCGTTGTCCTTTGCATCTTAACCCTTCATTCGCCATTATAACGTTTGTTTTTTACTCCACGCAGTGCTGAATAATTAACACGTTCGTTGTCTTGGAAGAGAATTTATGAGAGATTTAGGCCCGATGCACACTAGTGATCCGCTCCCGCTGAGGTCAGACCTCTGAGCTTTTGCACTAGTGGTTCGCTCCCGGTCTGGTCAAATCCCCGAGCTTCCACACTAACGATCCGGTCACGATCTGGTCAAATCCCCGAACTTTCACACTAGCGATCCGGTCACGGTCCGGTCAAATCTTTGAGCTTTCACACTAACGATCCGCTCGCGGTCTGTTGAAATCCCTGAGCTTTCACCCTAGTGGTCCGCTTCCGGTCCAGTGAAATCCCTGAGCTTCCACTCTAGCGATACGCTGCCGGTCTGGTAAAATCTCTGAGCTTTCACACTAACGGTTCGCTCCCGGTCTGGTCAAATCCCCGAGCTTCCACACAACGATCCGGTCACGATCTGGTAAAATCCCCGAGCTTTCACACTAGCGATCCGGTCACGGTCCGATCAAATCTACGACCTTTCACACTAGTAATCCGCTCCCGGTCCGGTGAAATCCCTGAGCTTTCACACTAACGGTCCTCTCCCGGTCCGGTCAAATCTTTGAGCTTTCACACTAACGATTCGCTCGCGGTCTGTTGAAATCCCTGAGCTTTCACACTAACGATCCGCTCTCAGTCCGGTCAAATCTTTGAGCTTTCACACTAGCGATCCGGTCTCCGTCCAATGCCGCTTTGCTCTCGAAATATAAATTAGTTTATACATCCACGTTTGGCTAGAAACCCGATTTTTCGCAATTTTCGACATATTATCATTTGTCAATAACTTCGAAGCCAACAAAACGACGACATAAACTCGTCATTATCTCACATAGACAAGGACATATATTTTTCTCAGATTTTTCAAAACGAGAGTAAGGGTTCGTTGTTGCGAAACAAAAATTTATTTAAAATTTACCAAATTAAAAATATTCTTAGATAGTTCCATCTTTTGTGATGCGAGTGAAAAAAAAATAGACTACTTATTAGAATTGGAATGAAATAACCGGTGGTAACCGTGACCGGACCGTCTTCCTTCGTTAAACCTGTCCATAAGAAAAAGACAGAGCTTCAAATCTTCTGTCCAAAAAGTGTCGAAACAAATTCCTCGTGCATAGAAAGAACAGCGAACCTGTTAACAGCACCGAGTTGCAATTAGAATTTCGCGAGAAACTGACGTGCAATTATTAAAGGCGCGCCAGCACCAGCGGAAGGAGCTCCAGCAGCACCACCAGCCGAAGGAGCAGCGCCTCCTGCAGAAGGTGCGCCAGCTGCACCAGCAGCACCACCAGCCGAAGGAGCTGCACCTCCAGCAGAAGCAGCGCCAGCACCCGCGCCCGCTGAAGGTAATCCACCTATTTTTTCATCCTCCTCTTCGTACCTTGAAACAATTACAGCACTGTTCATTGCAGGATTCGTCATCTGTTCTCGCCATATATCATAGAGAAAAACTGGGCTATCTCCGGCGTTTCCATTTTTTTAATCAATCTCTCTCCCTCTCTTTCACTTTTTCACGTTCTGCGAAACGTAGCAGGTAATGCTTGTCGCTTTTCTCTCGGGAAGAAATGGAAAGGCAATGTGCTCGTTTCGTAACTCATCTCTTCTTCCTGTCATTCTTCTCTCTCTCTTTCAGGACGAATAATTGTTTATAATCCCGCTGTTTTCTTTTTCGCTTGATTTCTAGCTAAGGTAGTAAGGTTGACGGTAAAAGTTGCAATGAGAGTGCGGCCCAAAGGTCCGATAATCGGTTCGAAATTCATCACGTACGGTATGTCAAAGGCTCACGAAAGGTTGGTCGATCTAGAAGTAGAGGACTAAAAATCTAGTCTCATCAGTCGCGTCAGTAACGTTCTCACCAGACGATAGACGACTAATTGTATTCATCGGTCACACCGATGCCTCGAAGCCCGCGGAGTGACGCACACCCCGTGGCAATCGACGCGGAGAAACTAAAACCGATACACTGCTCTCGCGTCGTCGTGAACTCGGGCCACGCTTCTGCGTCTTTCACGCTCGTTTTCACGACCACTCCACGCCGTGGCAGAGAACATTAACTTCCACCCGCTCTTAATCGCACCTCCGTCACCGCGCTAGTTTCTCGTAACTTCCGGTTGAATAGCAACTGATAAAACAATAGTAACAGTAATATCGATTCATTAGCGTCTAAGTGGCTGTAATGAAATTACACGCCGGAGGATCGGAGTTCCCTGAAACTTGGACAAAAGTGGAAGGAACCTCAGGGGTGTTCCTACTGTGACGACTGAGGGAAACTGAATTTTTTCGGAAATTTCGAAGGGAGCAAGTGAGACACTTGTCCTTTTGCAAATTTCTGTGTTTATTCCAGCATCTTTTGGGAATACGAAAATGTTTCTTATGGGTGAAAATGTCCATTTGTTGCGAAATAGGAGCGCCTTGAGAAATATCCTTCCCGATGGCTGACGCTTAATCTCAATCCGTAGACGCGCGGATATCGTCTTGACTAGAATAATAAAAAAAATTTGAGAAATGAAGAAATTGCTTTCGATTTTAGACTCGATCAGAGACTGAATTTTGAAAATATTAGCACAATTCTAGTTCAGACGACGAAGCAACATCTACTGAATATACTTGACAAATTTCGAGTGGATCGGACTTCTGGTCTTTTGCTAATCATGTCAGCCATTTTCCAAAATGCTGTTTCGAGAAAAACGCGTTTAAAGTTTCAGCTACAGTTTAAGACTATACTCCTTCCAAGGCGTATATCTCTACCAATTTCGAGAATTAAGCTTTAAACCTTCGTAGACACATTTTAGAGATGTTAAACTACAAGAAAATGCAAAAAGAAAACCGTCACAGTAGGAAGACCCCTTAAAAGGACTAAAAAATTCACCAGAGCTGATATAATTTTCAGAATCAAGCTTTAAAACTTCATAGACACATTTTCCAGATGTTAACTCTTTGAAGCACAGAATTTTAGGACAAAAACAGACTATAGTTGCACAGGAATTTTATTTAAAAAAAATGTAACAAAGTAGGTATGAATTACGACATAAAACAACTAAAACTTAAAGAAAAATGTTGAGATAATTAATTATTAGGCGGGACATAAATAATCTCACCATGAAAGTTGTGAAGACAGGTTAAATTAGATTAGCTTTGTTTTCTTCATGTTTCAAGGTGCATATGTAAGTACTAAAAAGGTGGGGCACTTTTTACCCCGCTATGCCCCAAAGAGTTAAACTACAAGAAAATGCAAAAAGAAAACCGTCACAGTAGGAAGACCCCTTAAAAGGACTAAAAAAATCACCAGAGCTAATATAATTTTCAGAATCAAGCTTAAAAACTTCATAAACATACTTTCCAAATGCTAAACTACAGGGTGGCTACTGAATGACTGAATGATATAAAAGAAAAATAACTTTTACAAACAAATGTTTTTTAAATTATTTACTACTTTATTTGGAAATATAATTAATGGATTTGTTTCAGTAATACGTGTGAACAAATGACCACCATTTTCCTGCTCACAAATACAGGCTCTTTCCACAGCATTTTCCATGACCGTACGCAAGGTTTCAGGTCCTAAACGTCGGATTTCGGCACGAATGTTCTCCTTAAGTTCTTCAATTGTTCGACGTTTATTTACGTAAACCCAGAAAGAAGTCTGGTGCCGTAAAATCAGGTGAACGCGGAGGCTAAACAAATTCAGCATTTTTTTTTCGGTATTTTTGAGAAAAACTCAACGAGTTCTACTCGTTGCTGGACATCATACGTAGCCATTTTAATCTCCAAGGGATGCTCTATAGCCTACAAAAGAAGAAAATGAACAAGTTATGACTTTTTCAAACCCTTCAGTTTTTCAGTGGCCACCCTGTATAAGTAAATGCCAAAGAAAACCGTCACAGAAGATCCCTTAAAAGGACTAAAGAAATATTCGATCACTCGAGCTAACATAAGACAACGTTAATTTTCTCCCTCTGAAAAACTGTATCTTTTCTTCTCTATTTGCAGCACCGGCATCGTAACTTCGTCGAAGTTGGAACGGACGAAGGGTCACCTCGCTATATGATTTCCACTCGTAAACTCGTCAGAATTTGCATAAAACGTACATGGGATAAGCATAGAGTACGGATAACACATGCATCGAGCCATATTATCATCGTCGTCATCGTCATCGTCATCGTAACCATTGTTTTCGTCATGCACACGCGTCAGCTTCAGCGTCACGTTATGCGTCATGGGTATATCTCTCTTTCTGTCTCACAAGTGCGAGGAACCGAAGGGAAACGGAACGAGAAAAAAAAATAGAAAAGAGAAAGACACACTGTATAAACTTGTACACATAAAACTACAGAAGGGCAAAGATAGGAAAAGAAAAAATCGAAAAAGAAGGGGGGACATTTGTCGTTGACGTGTTTTTCTTCGTTCCTTCGTTGGATTTTACACCTTGTACCGAGCAGCGTGAAAGTAACCGAGAATATCGTCACGGGGTGCCTGACCAATTTTTCGAATTTTCGTTTACCTAATTTATAGGAGAGAATGAATATATTAAGCCGTGTGCTAGTCGTTGTAACTGATCGAGGCGCGATTTTTACTCGCGTCGCACCACGGATCTTCCTATCGACTGATCAATCGAACAAACAAACACACGTGGAAATAAAATAATACGCAATTATATAGACGTAATATACATTTTTATGTAAATATTTTACGACGCGTTCTATCGAACATTTAATTACAATCAATCATCGACATACACTTCCTTGGACGAAATGATTGGATTTCGTAATAAAAAGTTCTTTTTTTCTGCGATTACCGAATCTTATCCAATTCGATATATCCCGTCCCCCTGTTTTCCCCCGCTTAACGAATTCAACACCCGACTGATTGTATTTGCATATATCAATTGTGCTTGAGCGCTCAAAGTCGCCCCTTAATTAATATTCAAAGACTCGACGCTTTGATTTTCTCGCGCAGAAGCCTTATTTGGGAACGTGCTCGCAGTTGGTCTACCATCGGTACCACAAGCTTGATAGCAATCATTTGTTTGTGCTGCTCACTGTCATGCCACGTGTTTTGCTAATCCCTCTGTCGCTTTGTTTCGTTATACGTACACATATACAGCTAACGCGGAAACAATAGACCCTCTTGCGTAATGGAATTTACGTGGGTTAGTCTTATTGTGAACGGCTCTTCCCTGTCTAGTATCTGTGTTGTCAGTGCAATCGATCTTCCAGCTATCAAGCTAAATTGCCATTGTTCGGCGCATACCACGGTTTAACGGCATCGTAACTATCGAAACGTGCCTAAAGCAATTCTAGAAAAAAAAAAAAACAAACAACTCTAATTATATTCTATTCGTACTCGTCGAACAATTTCAAATTACAACGTGGATCCGTGATTTCTCCACGAGTGCGTTCTAAGAATTTTACCGCTCGAGTGAAAAAGTCGGGTAATTTTTAGTATTTCGAAGAACGGAGCAGCGACTTTTCGCGTGCTGTTTCGTACGGCGACCGCTGGAAAATGACCACGTAATATCCGTGTATTCATCTCGGGCGGGTAAGACTGACAGATGCAGAATGTAGTCGTTAAGCCGCGCGTAATTCGAAACTCGAGGCCGTGCGCGTAGCGGTAAGCCGGGACGGCCAGTCAGTCGCGCTCGAACCGTCGTGGTGGAAGGTGCT